TACACGACATACACAAGAGATATTCATGGAACGCAACAATGTTATAAAATATTATGTGATTCACTTCATTTCTGTACATTTATTATCGTTAAGATACAGATAAATTTGCTAATTTATTTTTGATTTGTCTTTTATTTATATGCATATAAAATATGTTAAAAAGAAGTTGCCCTTGCTTCTTTTTGGCTCGTCATATTGCTAAATATTGACAGAACTTTTCATTTGAATGGTGAATCCCTCTTTTACATCATAAAACGGATGGTCACCCTTTAGCCACACTCCCACTGAGAATCAAGGATGAACCAATGGAAATGAAGACGTTTCTTCTAATTTCACACACGGCGCTTGATCGCTTGGCTCTTATTATGTCTCATTTGGTTCTCCTCTTTGCCTCTGATGAAAGAGTGGCAGAGAAGCCGAGGCAGCACAAAGGGAGGCCATCCATTTAAAGGCCATTTGTTTGGAGCGGCTTTAACCCACTCCTCTCCTCCTCCCATCACGCCGTTTACTCACTCGCTCAGTCTCTCATTAGCAACACTGCTTTTTTTTTATTAATTCATTCTAATTTGATTAGTCAGAGTGACAGACTACAAACAAGAGGATGCTACACCCTGTCTTCTCCTGTTTAACTACCCTTCATTCTCACCCCTCTTTCTGGTTCACAGAAGAATGTGTCATCCTTGAGAAAGGCGGCAAGGTCAATGGCTGCCAGTGACCCAAGACACATCTGGCTGCATGAAAGGACTGAGCTGAAGTGATGGAAAACTTAAAACGCACTCAAAAAGTGCTAGTGTTAATGACCACAATCCATTCCAGAATCATTTCAGTTCATCTCAGCCGAATAACAGGGACATGGGAATAAAGAACAAAAGCTGCGAGGAACGAAAGCTGTTAATTAGTCCAAGATCATTTGATAGAATGGAGGTCTTGGACAGGCTTGACTTTCTCCCCCAGCCCGTCAAAACTCTGTCAAAATCCTTGTTAAGCAGCAACTAATTTGGGAAATTATGTCAGCTGTTAAGTGAAGAGTAAGACACTCGAGGGGAGGGCCATTTGGGGAGGGGTGGGGGTGATCATACGCTTGCTTTGAGGCCGTGGTTCAATAATGTGTAAGGTGAAGAAAAGGGCTTTCCCTCACGGATGAGGTCAGGACTTCTGTGACTGCTATTTGAGTTGTTTAGTGCTGAAAGCCTGTGGCTTGATTGCAGGCAACTTGGCTGGAAACCACAACGGAGTCATCTGGAGTCACTTTAGGCCGAGTAGTGAAGTCCCTGGTGCATGTACCCTTCATGCTTAAGTGTGCACAATATATACTTGTAAATTTTACAACAAGTCTCTTTCACTCTATCAAATGGCTGTCCGTGTAATTTCATTATGTTAGTTTTGTGATGTTCAGAGAGATGAAGTGTTTCTATTTAGTTCGCACTAATGATCCTTAGGTTAGCTGAAGGTAATTTTTTTTCTTAGTCAACCTCTGGTTTGTTATTATGGAACAGCTTTTAAAAGGTTTTACTAAAACTTGCACATTTAGACACATACAAAATCATGAACATGATTTGAAAAGGATAAGGGGTCATAAAAAATAACCACACTTATGCAACATTGGAAACAAATCAATTCTAAAAAAACATTTGGTACTGTGCCAAAACATAATTTTAATGAAAGCTTGTTTTTTTTTTTTTTTTTTTTTTTTTTACATATTTGGAAAACAGCTTGTGTATATTTATGGCTTTGGTTTTCCAGTTTTAGAGTAAAACATGGTTTTGACAATACAGTTTTTATGTAAAATAATGTTGTTAATTTTCATAACAATATGTTAAAACTTCTATGTCTCTTAGACTCATATGGCGCAATTTGTTGCTATTTTCAGATCAGCGCAACCCTAATTTTCATGTTTTGCACCACATTGAAATAGCAAATCCATTTGCACCACTTTGTGGACTTATGGGTTTGCTGGTCTAAAAAAGAGGTGTGTTAAGGAGCATTATTGGTGTGTTGTTATTTTGAGGAACTGAAATAGACTTCCTTTGGCCAGTTAAAGGGCTTTTTTCAGTTTAATAATGACACTTTGCATAATGCATAATGTTATTATTATTAGCAGTTTTATTTATCATATGCATATTTATATTTTTTTTAATGAAAACAAGTTAAGATTTGTCCACCTGTTGGGTTTTAGAGACGTATGCATAACCATGGGGCATAAGAATAGGACGTGTGGTTAGATATGACCACATTTTGTTATTATTGTTCATTCGTTTGCTAGAAATTAGAACTGAATTTAGAAACAGTTTTAAAACAAATTTTTATGCTTAAACAAAATTAAATATGTTGGCTAATGGATGTCTTCAGGGGAGTGCGTACAACACCGTTTCCTTATTCACGAAAGTAAAGGAGTAAAGTAAAGAGTAAAAGAGGCCGAATGGCTCGTTTTTATTCTCTGTGCAGATGGTCTGTTGAACTGTTTTCTTGCTAGGGAAGCATTCAGTTTGTTCGCTTACAAAGTCCACCATGTAAATAGCAAATGTGTCATGGCATGGCACAGCTGACTCCTAAAGGGAATGGGAGATGAGACTTCAATTGGTTTAATGCAAGTTATGCTCAAAACACAGCCATAACTCAATAAGAAAAGAGCACAACCCTGTTAGACCATGCGCCACGGTGCAAAGCGTATTTTTCTGTTTTTGAAATAGTAAAAGTGGATTCGGACATGCCCTTAATGATTTTTTCTTGCGCTTTAGACTTTGCGCCTAGATCGTTAAAATAGAACCCTAAGTGTATGCTCCAATGCATTCAGGATTTGCAACAGTATAAGTTGGAAATAGTCAGATCTATACTCTTAAAGTGCTTAGTAGGTAATAAATGGCTTATAAAAACTGTACAAATATAATTTTGTCCCATGAAGTTGCCTGTACAAAAGTACAAAATGTATAATAAACTAAAGTGCACGAAACAAAAAGTATGTTCATTCATAAAAGAATATCCAATTATATAAGGATCACCAGAGAGTTAAAAGTCTCCAATTTGTTTTCATTCTTTCCTTATTTAGCCTCACATCACCTTTGGCTTAATTAGTTTTTTCAGAACCTAAATAATATTATGAGAAATTTCCATGCATTTCAATGGTTACCAAACCTGTTTGATTATCAATGTTCTTAAAAAGAAACTCTTTTGTTTTTCTGCTGAATAAAGAACACCATACAGGAACGAGGGTGAAAAGGTTTTGATTAACTATTTCTTTAATGCATTTTTTTTATTGCTGTTGAGTCAGCATGTTTGTTTCAATTCGCCAAACTATGTTTATTTGTTTTCTCGTTGCGATGGAGAAAATTTAATTATGCTAATACTGGCTCCATTTTTAAGCTGCCCGAGGACAGAAAAGAGGCAGCACAGCAAAAAAAAAAACAAATGACTGTGTAAACATCAAAGTGTATCACCTTTTCTTTGTCTCCATTCCAGCTTTATTAATAGCACATATTTTTATACAGTGCAAGAAATTGAGAGCAAACAGGGGAGACAAAAATAAACAGAAACCAGAATCACTTGGCACTGCCATGTAGAGGTCTACAGAAAACCCAAGTCAGTGCCAACCCTCTCAATGCCCAGTGCCAGACCCGTTGGCAGAAAAGCAGGAGCATTTTGCTTTTTTCCCCCACCTCATTCCTCCTGTGCTCAGTAATCTGGCCTGTGCATGTGGGGAAAACTGCTGAAAATGGCTCAGGTGCTGTTAAAGTTTGCCAGAGATTTGATGCAGAGATACAAACATGTCTATAACATGATATTTTCTGCTGTCAGTTCGTTTTAAAGTCTAGCTAAATCCAGGAGAAAGGATTGACCGCTTGTATGACCCGTAACAGAAAACCTGTTGTTATGAGATTGGGCTAAGATTTGTCACATTCTAAAACTTGCAGATTGCGTACAGTTTTTTTTTTTTTTTTTGTCAAATTGCTGTATATTGATTCATTAAAACAAATACATGAATTTTGGACTCTTTTCACCAACTGCTATGATGCATTTCCTTAATTATAGATATTGCCTAAAACCAACATTTGTCTACCCCTTCCAATGGTCGTTTAGAAACATTAAGGGACTTAGTCCCTTTATTAATCTGGGGTTGCCACAGCTGAATGAACCACCAACTTATCCAGCATATGTTTTACGCAGCGGATGCTCTTCCAGCTGCTAACCATCTCTGGGAAACACCCATGCAATCTCATTCACACACATACACTACGTGCACACAGGCTAAACGGTAACCTGATCTGTTTCTTCATCATTAACATGGTGCAGGAAATTGGTTGTTGTCACTTTGGCAGCTAATGAGTTTGCTCCTCATCATTTTAAATGCTCAGTATCATTGTACGCTATTAGGCTGCAGCGTGTTTTTCGGAGACCCTCCTCCACCTCAGCTCCACCTGTGTTTAGATCTGCTAAAGGGGTTAAATATATATTAAGTTTGCAGCAGCAGCATGTTATATTCTCAGATGGTATGACTGAATATATCGGCAGTAGCAGGTCTCGCTGTGCCACAGTACTTGCTGTTCCACAATCATCAAAGCAGCAGCTTAGAATATCTATGCCGCCAAGACCAAACACATCAACATACATATTCATTACCATCCTAAATCCCAAGTGTGGTCAAGAGAGAAGACAGTTTATAGCTTTTTAATGTTTTTGTCATTAATTGTTTTGTTGTTGTCGAGAGGAAGAGGGAGCAAGATTCTGTTTTTGCTGTAAACCACAGGAAAAGAGACAGATATTATGAAATACTTCTCTTTTGCAGAGAAGGAAAAGGAAAATATGGGAAACCTTTCTTCCAGACTTGGGAAAATGTTTGGTTTGCGTTTTCAAATAAGACAAAAATAATATTTGCTTTCATTTTAGTTTAAAACACATTGCTATACCTCGTTGTTTTAGTCTAGAGCCCAAAGTAAAAGAATAAAATTATAATATATGAATGTTTTTTTCTCTTCTGAAAGTTTTTTCTTTACTTTTCCCTACAGTGGGAAGAAGTAAGCGGCTACGATGAGAACATGAACACCATCCGTACCTATCAGGTGTGCAATGTCTTTGATGCCAACCAAAACAACTGGGTGCGCACCAAGTACATCCGGCGAAGAGGAGCTCAACGTATTCATGTGGAGATGAAATTCTCAGTGCGAGACTGCAGCAGCATCCCAAGAGTCCCTGGTTCTTGTAAGGAAACCTTCAATCTTTACTACTACGAATCTGACAGCGACACTGCCACCAAAACATTCCCCCCATGGATGGAAAACCCATGGATAAAGGTGGACACCATTGCGGCCGACGAGAGTTTCTCACAGGTAGACCTGGGTGGACGTGTGATGAAGATTAACACTGAGGTTCGCAGTTTTGGCCCCGTCTCCCGTAACGGTTTTTACCTAGCCTTTCAGGACTATGGCGGGTGCATGTCATTGATCGCCGTGCGTGTGTTCTACCGGAAGTGCCCTCGTACCATACGTAACGGAGCGATATTTCAGGAGACGCTTTCGGGAGCAGAGAGCACTTCACTTGTAGCGGCACGGGGAGTCTGTATCCCTAATGCTGAGGAGGTCGACGTTCCCATTAAACTGTACTGTAATGGAGATGGAGAGTGGATGGTCCCTATTGGTCGCTGTATGTGTAAAGCAGGTCACGAGGCAGTGGAAAATGGAACTGTTTGCAGAGGTAAGAGCGCTCTTCTGATAATATGTAGTGGTCTTGTTATTGTTGCACAGAACTCTTTTCATTTTTAGGTCACAGCTGCTTCTGACCCTGAGTACTGGATAGAGAAAAGTCTTTGTTTGCTGGTCTGTCTTTTGGTTATGTCATGTTATTAGCGCGGTGTCCTTGTAGTTTCATGTTCAGCTTGTTTTCTTTTTAACAATGTGGATCACGCTTTAAAAAGATGTCCTGTAGATGCAACAATGCTGATTTTTTTTGGTCAATAATAACTCATTACTGTATCATCCCATTAGTGACAGTTAATGCATTGCACAAAAAAATAGTTTAAATTAATCAGACAGCTTAGGAAGAGTGATGCCACTTATACAGCTTTTCAACACACAAATAATTATTACTATACAAGAAATTAAAGGTGCAGTAGATGATCTGCCAATATGCTAGCGATGGCATAATAGCTTTGAAAATGGACAACTCTCCCCTTCCGTCCAAAGCCACGTCTCGTTAAGTCATGAACGCACACTGAATAGTTGATGATCTGAAGACAATAGACAACTTTAGATCATGTCATTCACCAGTTAGAAAACTCTATGAAGATATTCACTTTGTCCAGCGTAGTTGTTGACAGGCCAGCAGGTGAATTATAGTTCCCCAAAACTGCCATTGGGGTAAAGTTGGTTTTATATTGGTACATTCAGACTTTCTCCCTAATAATACAATTTCAGAATAGTATTGTATTATTTTTAAATAGTTTGATTATATAATCAGCCAGTGACTATAAAATACAACATTGTTCACAGTCTATGAAATAGTGCTAATGTTGTTTTAAAGTCTTACCTACACGCTATTTCAGACTGAATAGTCAAAGTAACGTTAGATTGAGTGGGAGTGTGTCACAGTTTGTCACTGTTCAAAAATGAACGAATATGCGAATATAAACTTCACTTCAGTAAAGCTGGTTTGGCGGAAGAGCCCTATTTACTTATGTTTCATTATTTAACTAAATAAAAATCAGATTAGAAAAAGGAGTTCTAAAAACAGAAATATCCTGGTATTGTTTTACATTTACACTTATATTACCAAGAGAAAGAACAACTTTTCATTTTCAGTTGTGCTTGCTGATTGTCATACATCGTTTGTTTTCATCTCCTTTTACGCTTGAACAACTAAATGAACGCTTAGGTCTATTTAACTGACTATATTATAGATGTTGTACCAGATACCCCATGAACTTAAAAATAGCCAATTTTTCACTGGACGTTTGAAACACACTGTGCATATAAACCCATTCATAAATGAGAACATACTCTACATAAGCTTTGTGTGGCAAAAGTAATTCCGATATTGATTTAGGATTTTGAAAAGTTCTGATTCTTCATTTTTGGCAGAAGCCCTTTCAAAAACCATCTTTCTTTTGATGGATACACAGCCACATTGGTCTTTCAGAAAGAGGTCTTTCAGGTTGATGCAGTTTTCCTGATGTCTCTCTCATGCAAATGACATATCTATCTGCGTAAAGAGACTACACAGAAATACACATTTAAATTTTTGTCTCTTAGTTTATTAAAATACATATAAATACATTTAGATCATTTGCTTTAATCTCCTTTTACGCTTAAACAACTAAATGGAATGCAAAAAGACTTTCAATCAACAAAACAAAAAGACAATCACCAACTGCACCTTTTATTTACAATGAAATTATAATAAATCCTTACTTTTTTGATATTTTATAATCTATTATTAAACAACCATCCTGACAAGAATGCTAATTCCATGGGCTCTATGCACAACTAGAGTGTTAAAGCCAACAATAAACTTCAAGTAAAAGCTTAATGTGACTATTTTCAATTTCACAAGGTTGTTTTTACAGTATCGATGTTGTAATGTAATTCCAATACATTTAGTTAAATAGACATAAGCATTCATTTACTTGTTCAAGTGTAAAACGAGATGAAAGACCGCATAACCACTAGCGCTATCAATAGCAACAGGCTAGCGCAGAAATTTTATTGAAAATACTGGGGTAAAATAAACTGCCATATTTTGAAGAAATGGCGGGGGGAAATGGAATTTAATGCAGTGATTCTTGTCTGATCTGAGACCCACTTCATATCGTATATCTATCAGGCAGGGAAGATCGCTGATTTTTAAAGAAATCAGATCTTAAACGTGACAATTTTAGTAATGGAAAGACAGTTCACTGGAAGCCCTTGGGCTGCCTGGCTGAAAATTAAAAGTCTTTGTGCATTCTCCATTATTGCACATACAGTATAATATTGATTTCAGCTTCGTTTTTAATTTGCTGGTGTCAGCTTAAGGTTGTTAAATGATATTAAAAAGAGCTTTTGATTTCAATTTTAATTATTACGCATCCTAAGTAAACATTGCAGTTGAAAACTCTTGTGTCAGCATATATTAATTCAACAAGGTTATTTACAAAATGCAGAATGTAATAAGGATTAAAAATATATTTATATAGGATAGCATTTTTTTTTTATTGTAATAAAATATATCATTTAGTATTCTGAAATGAACTACAAGCTACACTTTGTTTTTCCTTTCAAGCCCAAGGTCTCAAAATGGCCCGCTGTTGATGTTGTGGTTTCGCTGTGATATCCCAGGCAACTCAAACATGTTCATGTGGGTAGTACGGCTGTGTTTTTTCCCCCTTTCACAGCATCCCTGTGCAGCATCAATGTAAGCTGGCCCTTTCACAGCGTGTGAGCGTATTGATCGTTTCTTATCCAAACCCCAGTGCTCCTCTCCTTCAGCCTGCCTCACCTGTAATTCAACTCGCTCTACAGCGGGAGCTCTCGTTTCGCCCGATGGCGGGTCCTGTTCCCACGGCAACGACAGCCTTCAGACAGGCTCCACGCTGGCACAGACGACACAATAAAACGCCCACCTGTGTTTCAGACCCCCCCCCTTCCCTTCCGCACCCACTCGCACAGACAGACAACGCACACACTCGTGAGCCTGGCTGTAATTACCACACCGGCTCCCCGTCTAGGCCAGGATGAGCTGTGATAATAGCCACTCATTGCAGGCACTAGCAGGGCGGCGCTCTGCCGATACGCATTCAATGACAGTTAATGAGTACGGTCACAATCCTTCCTCAGGAGCACCTGCCGATAAATCGTCAAGCAGTCTACTCTAAATTGAAGAGCCTGTGTAATTATACACATTTGGATGTTTTTGGCCTACATGCAATTTACTGCAATGCTATGGATTTTAATATTACAAGTGTCTGCTTGGACTTGAGGAGTCTCTGTAAACAGCCGAGTCTAAAAACAATGTGCTTGTAACATAATGGAGAGGTTTATAGTCAAATCAAACAAGCCATAAAAAGGTGCTTCTAATGCCGTTCACATCACACTGTCAGTGTTTTGCTGAAAGACTGTTACTCCTAACAGAGAGAATAATTACCCTAATCACTTGGTATTTAGCTCATTTTCATAAAGCATTAGCGCATATTAATGCATTGAGGAATATTTCATAATATTTTACCGTGGCAGGAGCTGATTGCAAATCTGGGATAAAAAGTCGTAATGTAATATAATTTCTCCAATCTTGCGTCGCCATTTATAATCCCATGAGCTAGATAATGTTAATGAGGCGCTAGCACTGACCTAGAGAATAATGACAGAGCATTTGAGGATTGGCTCTGATTACATTTGTTTTGAAGTTGTAGAAATGACTGAATTATGCTGGAATACAGTGCATTATTTTCTAAAAGCACAACAGCCTCCAATATTGTCTGTAGGGATAGTTTGGGTAGATGTCTATGGCTATTTATTTTTTAACATTTTGAATATACAATGTAATTGTATTATATGTGTATTTTCATCCATCCATCCATCCATCCATTCATCCATTGATGGTGATTAATTGAAAAGTAATCGAAATCGACATACAGAACCTGTAATCTATAAAATTTTTCCAGGTCAATTTTTTCAATTACTTTCCCTAAGGTGTGTGGAGTCTTGTAACCCCAATCTGTTAAGGCTGATTTATACTTATTATATTATGATTTGTACTTATTATATTATTCTGTATGGTCCGGTGCAGCCTCTGTATAACCATGTAAAATATAACTACACGTCGCTACAACGTGCGCAAGCTTTGTGATTGGTCAGTTTGGTAGCAGTGACAAGGGTGGACAGTGCGGAGAGTCGCGTTTTAGGCCATGTGTGTTTTCATTTCAGTTGTTGATGTTCAATAAAGGATCATAGATAATAGTTGGTGTGTTTTAATTATTTTAAAATCAAGTAATGCAATCCAGAAATCTCTAACTGGTAATATGTGAGCATATTTACTGTACAAAACTGGTCAGTGAACTATGAGGGAAAAAACATAAAATAAATAAATAAAATAATTGTTCATTAATTGTCATCGACTTGTTCAATGTTCATTTAATCGAGATTTTAGGTCAAATCGACCGTCCATCCATCCATCTATCCATCCATCCTAATTTGTACCAATCAAAATACACTTTAACCAGGACTGTAAGTGTAGTTAAACTATATTGTAAAACATTACTGAATTAAATAGATATATTTTATTAGACTTTGTTTTTATTTTTATATTGTAAATATACCATTTATTATTATTATTATTATTATTATTATTGTTATTATTATTATTATTATTATTATTATTATTATTGACTGCTAGTATTTTAGATAAAATGTTTTTTTTTATTTTACATACATTAACGTATGTATTATTCTTTGTATTACTGTATAAATTAATGTTAAATTATTTATTTCACTTAAAATGTATTTTATAACAATAATTTACTCATTGCGAACAAAGTCGTATCTTGCTTGAGAATATTATTGAATTATTTGGAGTGATAGCTCTTAGTGGGGCCGTGTACTATTCAGATTCACAAACTAATTGCAAAGAAGTCAGTTCTAGCATCAATTCAGAATGTTCAATTGTTTTATGAGGACCCAAGGCCATATTTAGAAGAAAAAAGTTTGATGAGAACAATATTAAGC